GCGTACGACCCGTTAGAGTGCATGTGTCGTATGCTGTCCTCTACCGTCTGCTCCCTTCATCGTCGCCGTTCGGTGGACCTTCACTATTGTCGTAAAATTATGGCCCTGTTGTACATGTTGTTGATGGCCGACCTCTATTGAAGGTTGTCACTGCTGCTCCTAGTCACAATTTTGCTTGCCGTGGTCCTCCTGTTCCATGTGTGTTCCTCTATCGTTGATGGCCGACCTCTATCGAAGGCCTCCAACAGAGAGGAAGAGGGATCGACACCGATTGCAGTCGACATCGACATCGGCAGCGCATCCCGTGGGCGTTCGTCCACACTGGATGCAATTGCCATCGCCCGAAAGACACGTGGCGACATATGCAGCTTCTCAAAGAAGTAATCCTCCATCGCATCATCGCATTGCCTGAGATCCTCCCATGCCCCCCCGGTCCTCCTTTTCATCCACCACGTCGGCGTCGCTCGTGGAAGAATACTGCAACCCATCACGCAGCAAACCTGAACTGCAGCCTCGGTGATGGCCAAAATATCCAGCCCTTCGACGAGGACTTGATGAAACGTTTTCCTCCTCCGCTCGCAGATCTGCGCTCTCATTCTGCCCAATGCCCTCCTGCTCACAACGAAAGAGCACGGCCGTCACGGCCGCTGCCACGGCCGTCTTCTCGATCGTCTTCAACTTCGCGCGTCTGTCGTCGCTGCCGCCCTCCATCGGCACGTGTGTTGCAATGCTCATGAACCACGAAAATACAACAGCCTACCAACTCGCCACGGCCACTGTAACCTCAGCGCCAAGTCCCCGACGACGTTCCCCACGTGTGCTCGACTCAACACACAGGCGCGGCGGCATGCAGAGGCAATGGCAATGGACCTTCATGGGGCACTCACAAATTCGTGAAGACGTACATGGACTCCACTGCGGCGCTGCAAATGCCCGTTTCCACCGTCACAGATATGGATGCCACCTGCCCCGTGTCGCCGTCATGACGTCCAACACCCAATTTGAAATTTGATTTTCGAACGGGGAGGTCCATTGCTTTTTAAGGGTTTTTTTTTTTTTTTTCCGGTCGCCAGTGCCTTTCAAAATTTCCCGCCTTCGGCAGCTGGACCACACCATAGCTAGACGGACATCACCCAATGGACCAAGGCATTGCCCCCCCCGGGCTAACTATAATGTTATGAAAATGGCCGGCGGCGGCCGAAAGGAATCATCCTTGGGAGACCACCCCAAGAATAGGTGGAAAGATGGCAGGAATTTCCTTCAAAACCCCCAAGGACGCCCAAGGAGTGTCTAACGAGCCCCTACGTCACATTCTGCTCTCCTTTTTTATTTTTTAGCTCCTGAGAGTCCGGCGTATTAAACCAGCAGTAACTTCTTCAGCTATCAATACCGAGCCTACTCGAATATGGCTGGTGCCTCCAGCCATTTCGCCCCGGTAGTGCCGAGGCTGCCCGACAGGCATTTGTTTTTCAAGCAGGGAAGGGTACTGGTGGTTTAAGAACGCCGGACCCTCAGGAGCTCAGGCAGAGTAGAAGGGAAGACAATGTGGCTAAGGAGATCCCGGACACGGCCACGGCCCACAGGGTCGGCAGCACTGCACAAAAATTCCACCCATCAGATCTCAACGGCTCCAGGCGTGACAGGAGTCTGATCCTGGAACCGAACTACAGTTACATTGGATGAGAGGGACACAGTGTATCATCCAGCACCTGTAGGGAGGGGGTTGGGGAACGAAAGGCAGGCTTGGCCACTGGAACGGGAAGCTAAGCATAGGTGCTAGAACCAGGCCCGGAGACTGAGACAACAAGGGGCTGTTAGCTGGGAGAATGGGGAGAAGCAGAAAAGTCAAACTGTCTCCAATTCCCTTAGTAGCAGCCAGGGGATCTGAGTATACCATCACCTACATTAGGCTGCCACCTGGGCGAGCAATTCGGGCTGCTGGGTACTTCTGCTTGCCAAATTTTGCCCTTTGTAGGAGGTCCTCGCAGCTTATTGTTATCCCAAGTACAGCGACAACAACTGGGTATACTATCACTTACCTTAGGCTGTCCTGTAGGCCAGCAACTCAGACTGCTGTCCTGCCAAACTTCATGTTTTGTAGGTGAACCCAGTAGATGATTGCTGTCATTAGAACTGCATGTCAATCCACACAAACAACTACAATGTTCAGGGACGCTGGACCCACTTTCCAGCAGGTGCTGCTCCCCACCAATAGATGGAGCCTCCCCGACAGTGCTTGTGCTGCCTGCTCTTATCAGCACCCCTAGCATCTGCTCGGGTTGTTCTCACAAAAAACAACTTTGACGTTTTTTGGGCCACATCAGTCGGTTTCAATTTCGTTCAAAGAATAGAAAAAAATAATGTCGAAATGGCTGTTAATGGGGGTATGGCACGCCCAGAATGGAGCTAAGGCATGCCCAGGATGCCATATCCCCGTTGATGGACAGAGTGTCAGAGAAACGGTGTTTTCATGATGCCTTATCCCTTGTTTTCGTAGGTCTTTGACCAGGGTGCTCAACCAACATCGAATTTCGCAAATATGCACTAAACTGAAACGGTTTTCACCTTTTAACAGTAGCGGATGCAGTACCCAGGGTTCGATCCCTAGACCTCACCCTACCCATGTACAGTATCTGTGTAGACCCCGAGAATTGAACCTGTGACCTGTG